TATATAGGGGTTATTTGGGTAGTATGTTATTTGGAGATTTTTTGTGGTGAGTCTGCAACAAGCCACAGGTGGAGCACCGCATGAATAATATACTATAGTATACAACAATTTAATACACTATACCTTTCCATTCTCTGGACTGAGTACGCGCGAGAGAGAGAGATACGATATATAGTATACTATATTGTACTATGTTAAACTATAATACAGTATAATGTACTATATTATACAATATTATATTCTATTTTACATTAAGCCCCTATAATGTACTATATTAGACGATTCCAAGCAGCGCTATTGATTTGTGTGTTTCCTTCATCGGCCTTGCAGGTGAGGTTTCATCGCGCTGATAGCTTCGGCAACGGACCATCATGGGTGGGTTTAGGGTTTAGGGTTTAGGGTGTGGATTGGGTACTACTATCACCATTAGTTTTATTACTGTTGTGACTGTTGTTGCTATTATAACTGCTTGTATTCCCATTTTTTAATACAGAAAGGCACGCTCTTGTTGCCTCAGTTTTGTGGTAGTGGTAAAACACTACGAAATAACATTTATGATTGCTACATACATAATGTCATGCTGTTATTGCCCGGAAAGATGTTAAGCTCTCCTGTGACTTTTGAGTTTAGCACTTTCAAAATATGAATAAGAAAGATCATTAGCATTCCAATTGTTTAATAGTGAATATAGGTTAACTGGTAGAAAGTGAAGGATTCAGCAGTAGGATTCTTTGAAGGGCGGGCTGCGGCTAGGGGGACGGGAGGGGGCCAACTTTTTTTGGTCCCCCCCCATCTCCCAGAGCCACCTGGCCGCCCTACCCTTCCTACTATTTAGTCTATCCTTTATCCCTCTCTTGTGGGGTCTCTAAAATCAAATGGCGATGCGAATGCGTGTCTGCATTCCAGGCATGAAGCCAAAAGCATAGATGCAGGACGTGATCGAGAAAGTTTTTCACCTGGCCCTTCGCATGGACCAGCTCCAATTCCTCCTGGACTAGTCTTTCCCACAGGCAGGCTTGTGGCCTCAGGGGCCATTCAGAGTAGATGAACAACATAAAACAGTAATTTCTCGGAGTTCTGTGGATGTAGCATTGACACGCCAGAGAAGTCGTGGTGTTGCATTACGCTGGTGTGGTGCCGTGCTTGCGCACAATCAATATATGGGTAAGCCAGTGGTCCTAACCGACCCGCATGGGGCGTGTTGTGTCTAGAATTTGGCAGCTGCTGCGCACGAGTTTTCTGTGGTCTAAACCTTCGGAGTTTGAGACTGGCATCCTGCTTCTGCGATTTTCTGTATCTGCAGCAGTACTGCCTTCATGAGATGTGCAAGTGCTTCAGGGGAAGTGCTCATTTGATACCATTCGTGGGTGCATATGCCAAGACGCAGGAGGTGTTGGACTCAGTGGCCTCGGCGGCATCGGTGGCATCGGTGGCCTTGGTGTCGGTGTGGCTGTTTGGGACATTGGGAGCGTTACGTCCTTGAGTGCGAGCCGATCTTTGGCACGAGGGGTGATCGATGCGCACACAGTGCCTTGCCGCATGAGAAGCCGAACTGTACACATCCGTTACGCGAGAAGCTTTCGTTTAGTGGCACTTAGCGCAGCTGTATGTAATGTAGCTGTAGTTGCTGGCAGGCCTATCTGGCTTGTTTGCACAATGCAAAGAGAAAAGGCCGGCCATCAATGCTGTTCGGCTCAGGCGCTATACACTTTCAAGCAGAAGGACGTCCGGGGAGAGGCGCATTCTCCACGTTTTCTGTCCGGCTGTTTCCAGCGAGTACCAAGCACCAAGTTCCCTTGCCCATATGGACGGACGGCAGAGCTGGAGCCTGCCAGGCCTGTGATTCAGCTTCGAAAAAGCGTCTTGGAAAGCATCCTAACACTAACAGACACATTAGCAGTCGTTACATCGGTTGAGAGTGCTTACACCGAAGAGCAAGCATCTTGTTGGCGCTGAGGTGCTGCATCTGCCTGGAGGATTTCGTTGAGGGGCAGCAGCTCCGTATCTTGCCATGTTTTCACAGGTACCATCAGGGTTGCATTGACGAGTGGCTTGGCCGGAGCGACGAGTGCCCGCTGTGCAAGTTTCGCATCACAACGGATGAGACTTGGATGCACAAGGGTCAGCTAGACTTGGCTAAAGGACCACTGCCGGCATCCCACCCCACAAACTTGGGCATTCCCGCTGCACTGCCTCTGCATTGTGGGTTGTTCTAAAGGTCCTTG